TGTTTGTGATGAGCAGTTGTTCACTTGACAAAACTCTATTAGCCTTTGCCCTGCTTCGTTTTGAACTCCAAGACCAAACTTCCCTTTCATTCATTTTATCTCTTGATGCCCTCCTTTAGCATTCCAGTCCCCTAGAATGAGGACATCTTTCTTTGGTGTCAGATCTAGAAGGTGTTGTAAGTCTTCATAGAATTGGTCAATTTCTGCCTCTTTAACTTGGGTGGTTGGTGCAGAAACTTGGATGACTGTGATGTTGAAAGGCTTGCCTTGGATTCGTATTGAAACATTCTATCATTTTTGAGATTGTATCCCATTACAGCTTTTCCCACTCTTTTGTTCACTATGAAGGGCTACTCGATTCCTCTGAATTGAATTCACCCATTCCCATCCATTTTAGTTCACTGACACCCAGGATGTCAATGTTTATTCTTGTCATCTCCTGTTTGACCACCTCCAGCTTCCCAAGGTTCATAGATCTTACATTCCAGGTTCCTATGCAGTATTTTTCTTTGCAGCATTGGACTTTCCTTTCACTTCCAGGCACGTCCACAGCTGAGCGTCCCTTCAGCTTTGGCCCAACTACTTCCTTAGCTCTGGAGCTACTTGTAACTTGTCCTCCGCTGTTCCTCAGTAGCATGTTGGATGCCTTCTGACCTGAGGGGCTCATCTAACTATCTACAAAAGGTTAGGAAAATGCCAAAAAGAAAAACTCACAACCATTGCCTAGCAAAATGAGAACAGCATAAAATCCTAGGGAAAAGGAACAGAGAAGACAAAAATCATGGAGAGCTCGGTCTCTAGCATGCCACCTAAAACACATCCATCCGCTATTGTCTGCCTGCCAATTGAAGAACAACATCCTAGCCATCAACAAGTTTTCCAGTCACTGCAAGATCTCTCTCATCCACTGGAACGGAAGAAGCACCAACAGAAGGTGGAGGCAATTGCAGATGGGTGGGCTGCTTGCGCACTTGCTATGAGGGAAACCAAGTCATGTGCCATAAAGCAAGGGTTGGAAATGTTTGAACCTTTGCTTTTCATTAGACACCCATGATCTCTCTTTGCTGGCTATTCTAGACAGGGGTATTCCCACAGTGTCAGGAGAGCCACATAGTCCTCTTTTTGGCCACAATGCCTGCTATGGCATTTTGGATCCAAAATTCACAGCCTTGCCAGGCCATACTCACCACATGGCAGAGATACTACCTGTCTGGATCCACTGCAAAAGAGAAAAAGATGTGGGGCACTGTGGAAAACCTCAGCACAGCTGGAGCCCTGCAAGAACCCCTTATAGACCTAAGGCAGACCAAAGCCTGGCAGATAAAGCTTGGGGAAATGAATCCTTTGGATTATAGCACCCCAAACCCCTCAGCCACCATGGTCAATGTATATTGTGGCTTGTGGATTCTGGGAGTTGTAGTGCAAAGGAGTCCCTTTTCTGAACTCTGCCAAGGACAATCCCACTTACTCCACCCACCTCTGACTGCATCCTTAACTTTGCTTCCAATCCCAAAACATCCTCCTTCAGCCTTCTGGCCCCAAGAGTGAAGGCTGATGTTCCAGGTGCTGACCATGGGCATATGTTCTTGCCTTCTCTGACCTCATAGGACCTTTTAAGGATAAAATGAGATAGCGCCTAAGTAGAACACAGGAAAGTTACCTTCTAATTTCAGTGGAACGCCTATCTATCTCTTGATGGCTGATGGGATGTCAAAAAGGGACTTCTGATGCTGGCTAGATAGTTCAGTGGTTTAGGTATCTGGCTATAAAGCCAGGGGCTGGGAGTTCGATTCCCCACTAGAGGCAGCCAGTGTGGCTTTGAACAAGCTGCACCGTACCTGGGCACCCCCAGAAGAAGGGAATGATAAACCACTTCTGGCTATGTAAAGGGTCTGCCAAAGTCAGAATTGACTTGAAAGAATATTAAAAAAAATGCTGGCCTGTAGTGTTCCCTCTTGTAAGTGCAGAGAGCTGGGAGGCATAGATCTGGATCAACGTTTGGAAAAGTTACTTTTCAGGACAATGGCTCCAGAATCCTTAAGGCAGAAGGGCAACTGTAAATACTACCTGGAGGGGCTGGCAACTGGTCCCAAAAAGGTAACTTTGGCAATCTCTGCATGAAAACAGCTTGATATACTACCCAGGAAATATAGATTTCTAATTACAACCTGGTAGCCCATGTTTTGAATTCCACCTTCTGCTCCTGAAACAAAAGGAACCAGACCTTATAGAAATGCACACACACCCTTTGGGGTTCTTGCAAAAAAAATATATAAATAAATAAAAAACCAGAAGATGTGAGCCCCGAGTTACAGAATTTGCAAGAGAAGAAAACCTGCCAAAGGATTAGAGCACAGCCTACTAGACGAGAAAGAACGGCATGGCTTTCATCCATACATGTATTCACTCGAGCCTATAATAGAGCTGTCAAGAAGCCACAGCAATATACTACGCTCTAATTCTAGCTTAGCAGAAATCCTTCCAGGCATGGATTTTTCTTCCATCGAGTGTGGCAGGTTGTTATCTGGAGATCCCCGTGCAAAAATAAAAAATAATAAAAAAAGTTTGCATGCATAAAAGCTGTGGTGGGCAGAAAAGAGAAGGGAAAGAACATCTTTAGGAAGAATGGTTTTAGAAACCCAAGCTCCATTCATTGAAAGCAGAGGCTAGCGCGAAGCCACTTTTCTGGCTGACCTGTGCAGCTTCTAGCGCACTCTTGCGTTCTTCCAATGTCACTACAAGCTGGTCATGTTGGGAGAGTAAATTCTTATGCTGTAACTACACAAAAGAAAAGACCACATCAAACTTGATCCCAAACATGTTTCAGTGAACCAAGTGCCAATCATCCTTCAAAGTCAAAAAGATACTGTCAGGGCCATCAACTGACAGAAGCTAACTCCTTAGCTGCTCATTAGTCAATTAACTGAATACATTTCCGCTCTGGTGTCTTTTTGAGATAGGACTGATGCAGCTGGAACTAAGGTTAAGAGGCTGGAAACATGGTTGAGATTACTGACTGCCTGTGCCCCATAATTTGCTCCACCACTGCATTTAATGAGTAAACTGGAATCACCCTTATCCAGGGTTAATCAAACCAAGATTCCTTTTAATCAAGATTTGCTAACTCATGTCAAACCCTGGTTAAGCAACATATTGCCATGGTTAAGGTTGGTGCCAATGTATGTGTTAACTGCTGTTCAAGGAAGGAGGATGTGGAATTCACTGAGGAACATGTGAATTCCACAACATGTGCTTTCTTAATCATGGTTCCAAGATGGCTTGTGTACATGGTGCCAAGTTATGCTTTTGATTGTAGGTTGGGAAACCTCATGCTCTGGAGCCAAATCTGGCTCTCCCTGTGCCCCAGTCTAGACAGATGTCCAAGCTCCTTTGTCACAATGTCAGCAATCTGGTGGGTTGCCCACTTTTCCCCCCATTCAGAAATGTCTATTCTAAGGCTGAAATCCTGGCAGCAAGGGTTCTCAGCTAGAACATGCTGATATTGTCAGTCCCAAACCTTTTGCCACTACAGCCTTTGACCTCCCCTTGAATCCAGCTGCTGAAAACCTCAACGATCCTGAATTCAACCCATGGACTGAAAGAGGTTTCTCAGACTTGGTTTAGACTTATATGTCCACGGTCAAAGAAGAGGAGGGTGAGCGTGAGTGTGCACTTTTAAGAAATTACTCAAGAGGACAAACTTATTGTTACCTTATTTTTCAAGCTGCAGGACTTTATAACTCCCCTTTGCAAACAAGGGACACTTTTTTATTTAAAGAAAAAGAATCTGTGTCCCCTGCGCCTTACAAGATCTGAATCTTACCTTCACGTCTTGCAGCTGGGTATGAATATCTTGATGAGCTTTCCTCAACTGCCTGTTCTCTTCTCGCAGATTATACAGGGACTCTGTGAAGAATTCAATGCAAACAAAAATTGATCCTACCGTTGTATATCTCATAGGGCAAATCTAATTATACCTCCATTTAAATATTTACTTTCAAGCCTGATCAGAAACAGGCTCAGTGCAGAATTCAGGAAGCAAATACCAGGGAGTGGACAATCCTCCTTTTCCTCCCTCCCAAAGTTTAATTATATTACACAGTTCTCTACCCTTCAGCTTTGACAGTTCCTGCTCTTTTTCTTGCTGGAGCTCCATGTATCTCTGCTTGTGCTCACTGACCACATGGTTGAAATCCTCTCCTTGTCTCCTGTGCTCTTCCTGCAGGTCCAAGTGCTGCTTCTTTAGTTCTTCATTTTGGCTCTGTAAAGAACAAAAGAAAGAAGGTCATACAGGAATTACTGATCGCACACAGTGGTTCCCAGCCTTGCCTCTCCAGATGTTCTTGGACTGTATCTCCCAGAAATCCTGGTCTACACAGCTAGTGGTGAAGGCTTCCGGGAGTTTTAGTCCAAAAACATCTGGAGACCCAAGGCTGGGAACCACTGATCTAACACATCAATTATACATTTAAGACGTAGCTTGCAGCTACCAATGTTCTTGCTTTTTCTCCCACTCTAAAGCAAGCACAGAAAGCCCCTTTAAGACCAGGACAGTAGAAGTGGGCCCGTTATGGTCCTGATCTATCAAGGGACCTACACAGGCCATTCATATTGTCCAAAAGCAGTGGTGGGTAGAGTGCAGTCTCTTGGTTGCATGTGTCCCCTTTCTCATTCCAAAATGTTGGGTATTTTTAATATTTTTATTTATTTATTTTATTTATATCCCGCCTATCTGGTCGGTTAAGACCACTCTAGGCGGCTAATTGCTCAAAAAGCTGTTGTGTGCCTTCAAAAGGCAATGGGAGCAGTCTTCCCAGGTTTTGTAGGCAGCCAATGCCCCTATGCCCCCCTTCATTTTATAAAAATTGTCACTAGAGGATACAACAGTGTTTACTGAATCTCCCCTTTTAAAGAAAAAATATTTGGGAAGGTGGAGAGATGCATCGGCAGGTACCACTCTCCAAAGCCCAGGGGTAAGGATGAGTGGCATAAGAGGCCTCTGGAGGTCACCACCCCTGCCCAAGAGTGATCTGCTCAAACAAATGCATTGGGTATTTGAACTGTAAAAAATAGCTGCCATTTGAGATCGGATTTTGACTATAGTCAGGGCGAAGAATCCTACATGCACATATGTTGTTGTTTAGTCATTAAATTGTGTCCATCTCTTCGTTACTCCATGAACCAGAGCACGGCAGGCCCTCCTGTCTTTCACTGCCTTCCGGAGTTTGGTCAAATCCATGTTGGCCACTTCGATGACACTGTCCAACCATCTCATTGTCTGTCCCCTTCTCCCCTTGCCCTCACACTTTCCCAACATCAGGGGCTTTTCCAGGGAATCTTCTCTTCTCATGAGATGACCAAAGTATTGGAGCCTCAGCCTCAGGATATGTCCTTCCAATGAGCACTCATTGAGGCAGTGCATATATAACATGCATATATAGTAGGATTCCAGTCCAGCAAACAGAACCCTACTGTGAGGCAGTAATGCAGTGTAACTGTGCTGAGACATAAACCAGCTGGTCCTCCAAATGTGCTTAGACTGTACCTCCAAGCATTCCTTACCACTGCCAATGCTGGCTAAGGCTGATGAGGGTTGAAGTACTGCAACATCTGCCAAGCTGCACTTTGCCCATACCTAAGTGGTGCTCAGGTCACATGACAGAACTTGGTCTTCTCCTCTCCTCTTCCTCCAGTTCATAATTTTCAGACATCATGAGAAATCAGTGCAGGCAAACCATGGCCATCCAAAGCTGTTTTGGTGGCCCTCAACCCTCCGACGCTCTCCTCTTTTTATAAGGAATAAGGGGGAGGGTGATTTTGAAAGGGGGAGGTAAACTCCTAAATATTCCCACTTTCATTCTGTCCCCTTCTTTGGTATTTTGGGTCATCTGTGTAGCCCAAAATACCAGAAAACTGTCCGCCTGGGACCCACCAAAATTGATTATCCCATGTTTCAAGAAGAATCATGACAACAGTCATGATGGATCAGAGCAAGAATTTCCAAGCTCAGATGATGACAGAGGGAGAGGAAACCTACTAAAAGTTCAGCATGGCTTGCAATCCACATTAGTCAGTCACTCTGAAGATTTCTGGCTCCCTATGGGACTGGACTAACTCAGAATGTACATGGAGCAATTGTGTATTTTGAATCTTCCCCTTGTCAACTGCTTTCAAAACAGACCATTAAGAGTCCTGGAGGTTGCCTTTTTTTTTTTTTTGAAATGTACATATGCCAAATGGGAGATAAACATTTGGTAATCAGAAGAATTTATTCATTCGTTTGTTTGTTTACAATTCTACCCCACAGGACTAGTAGCAGAGCCACTACTCTGGGTAGCTCTGCTACTCAGGCCTTCCTGTGACATCCAGAAATATCCTTGGAATCAATTTTAACTTGAGGTTTTCGCCAAATGCCAAATAAGGCTAGAATCAAAATGTCTTCATCTCCTCTCCTGTTAAGACTGGATTTTTAGAACAACGTGCATATCTACCTTCAGCATCTGGTGTTGAACGTTCAGAGCGCTGTATCTGCTATTGGAATCTTGCTGTAAAATGAGAAGAGAAATAGAGGATCAGCTGATATCTTCAGCCTTACAATGATTTGGTATCTTTCTGTAAATGATATTAAGAGGACACTGCAAACTTGCTCTTCAGACGTAATGAGGCTCAGGACACATCCTGAGGCAGTGGTGGCGAACCTTTTTGGGCTCAGGTGCCCAAACTGGTGGGGAAAAACCCCAGTGGGCGGCATACTGCAGCGGCAGTGGAACCAGAAGTGGCGGCGGCAGAACCAGAAGTGGCAGCAGAAGGGGGAATCCCGTCACAGAGGTGTCTCGAGACCCCACTCCAGATCCACTGCCAGCACCAGCTGCTCCGGATCTGCCTGCCTAAGTGCCAGTACCGCAGCTGCAGCCGCGTTCTCAGGTTTAGCTGCGCGGGGGGGGGGAGAGTAGCGATCCAGAGACTTATGGCTCGCGTGCCAGCAGAAAGGGCTCCACATGCCTGCACTTATCCAGATTCCTCCCTGGATTCCCTTTTTACAAACTGATTTCAGGGACATGTTACATGTTTTAATTAAAAGATCAGCCATTTCCCATTTGAGAACTTGTGAGGGCCACCACCTCTACTCCAGGGCAGAGGCAGTGGGGAGTCCCTCCTCAAACACGGTTTCAGTAAATTTCAAGCTCCCAAAAACTGCTTAAACCTGATTTTACTGAAGCAGGTAAACTGGGTACAAGAAAAGGATAGGCATCAGTCACACCCCGTTTCATCACTCTGCAGGGGGCTTGAATTAGGTCCATTAACCCCAGTCCAGTCTCTTCCCAATCCTGAGTTGCCATCACTGGGGACAGGCCACCCACAGTCTGCTGGTGGCACTGGGTCTTCAGCACAGCCCCAAGCTACCCTTCACCTTTCACTGAGAGCTAATAGTGCCAGTTGTTCACCAGTAGGTGTCCCCAACCTCTCTTCCTGCTGCTGCCTTGGTGCTCCTTTTGGTGCCTGCACGTCCAGTGCCTTTGCTGAGTGGGGGTGAGGGCCAGTTGCCCTGCCAAACACTGAGGTCTCCAAAGGGACAATGCCAGTAGACTGAAGGTGGGTGCTCCTCCACCACATCTTCTCCTTTCAGTAACCAGGACTTCCACCCAAATATCTACCCAGGGGTTCTGAACATGCATGCATTCCATGTCCCCAGCAGCACCAAAGACAGGGTTCAACTCTTCCTCCACTTCCCCTACTCCTTGATATCAGACCTCGTCAAGCTGTCTGTTCCAATCCCCCCTTCTTTCTGCTCTTCCTTTATCCCTAACTCCTCTCCCCCAAACCAAACCCTTGCTCACCTGCCCAGATGGATCATATCATCTCCGTCCTCCTCTTCCCCACCCGCTGAGTGTCCTCCAGAGTCTACACCCGCCAGAGTCCCAGGAGCAACAGTTTCATCCAGACCCTCAAGAGCAGTGGTCCCCAACCTTGGGCCTCCAGATGTTCTTGGACTTCAACTCCCAGAAATCCTGGCCAGCAGAGGTGGTGGTAAAGGCTTCTGGGAGTTGTAGTCTAAGACATCTGGAGGCCTACAGTTGGAGACCACTGCTCTAGAGGATACAGAGTATGGGCAGATAGCTAGCTACGCCAACTTCTTCACACAACTCTTAGGCTGATATAAATCTGGAGCCAGAAATTTGATTGTGATTTGTCAGTAAAGTCTAGAACTATCTGTCTTGGGAGGAGCCTCGTGGCACAGTGGTTAAACCGCTGTACTGCAGCCAAAACTGTGCTCACGACCTGGGGTTCAAGGGTAGCGGCTCAAGGTTGACTCAGCCTTCTATCCTTCCGAGGTCGGTAAAATGAGTACCCAGCTTGCTGGGGGGGGGCGGCAATGTGTACCCTGCATAATTAACTTGTAAACCGCCCAGAGAGTGCTTGAAGCGCTATTGGGCAGTATATAAGCAGCACGCTTTGCTTTGCTTTGTTCCTACTATCTATTTCAGCTTCTCACTCTTTCCTTCTGGAAACAGATGTTAAGGCACAGCCCTTGCCCTACCCCTTCTGTTGTAATGTTACCGATCTTCCTGTAATTTCCACCTTCTCTTTTGCTCTCACTTGTCAGCGGATGGAGTGAGCTGTCTTAAGGTGGGTGTTTACAATTCCCAACCCAAACTGCTTCTCTGTCTTGCTACTCAGTAACCCATCTGCAGTGACCAACCGGCACTTCTGCCCATAACTGGCTTACTCCGTTCGTGTATGTACAGAAAACAAAGGAACGCATCTGTCAGATTTTGAATTCAAACCAGCAATAAGGCTTGGATAGCAGCCCCCAGACTCACTCTCTTTCCTCAGAACTGAAAGGCAGGACTTAAAGGACGACCTTCATCCTCACAGTGTGCTGCAACATGCATGCTCCCTAGCATCACTTTAGGGCAATTTTCTGATTCTTTTACTGAGCTTCATCTTTATGTCAAGCCAGCTAAAAGGGCAACTGCCCTGAACAGTAGTGACGGCAACTATGCATTTATGGTGGCTCTATGGAATTTGGTTTGGTTTGATTCAGCCAGTATGAAGCTGCAGCATAGACAAAGGATGACCTAGTTCATATGCTCCAGGCAAGGAGCTTCCATATATATGATGGAGACACGAATCTATTTACCCTCCTAGTCTCTTTTCTCTCTGAGTGTCTGGCATGGCCTTTACACCCTAATCCATATGGATATCTTATTCCTAAGATTGGAGTGGATAGGAACCAAAAACATCAAGACATCACATATGCAGAGTCTTGCACTGCTTCCTCCCTTCCTACATTATATGATATCGCGGAGATGGATTATAGACCCTTTTCTACCATACAAAAATAACTGTGTTGGCTCGTAGATTTGTCTGGCCTCGGTGTCTGGAGAATGAAGCCTCTCTGGGCTAGGCCTAGTTCATATACAACAACAAACCATAATTTATCATAATGACAAGAAAAGCGTACAAGCTCTGAGCTTGTACATTCCCTACCTACACCAATACTGTCTTATCTATTTTTTCCTACAAGTATTTATCACTGTGGTCAATGGGTAGAATTTTAAGCAGACCATTTACAAGTTTATTCACAAGTAAGAACATTACTTCCTATAATTATTATTTTAAATTGAGGACTCTGTCTATTAGGTTTATCCAACAAGAGCTTTATACTCAGCCATCTTTTCAATCATTCCAACTCACTTACCCTTCCTTTATTTAGTGTTTCTTGTGCTTCTAGTTTATAAACAAGAAAATCTAAAAATAATGGGAGAAAAAAATGAAACAGTGTGAGGAATGTTTATGTAAAAGAAACCTCAGGAAAATTTACCAAGAAGCAAGCATTAGAATAGTCAGTCCAATGGTTCCCAAACTTGGGTTCCTAGCTGTTCTTGGACTAAAACTCCCCATAAGTCTTCACCACTATCTGTGCTGGCCAGGATTTCTGGGAGTTGTAGTCCAAGAACACATGAAGACCCAAGGTTGGGAACCACTAGGGTAGCCAACTGTCTAAACAAGTGAGGAGGAAATGCAATTCATGTGTTGGTGCTTTGTTCACCAACTCTGATTCAATGCTGGGGAGGGAGACCTCCCTTCCAATTCATGAACGTGGAATATTCATAAGAAGCATCATGGATGCTTCTGTATCCACAATTCATGCCCTTGTTGCCAGCAGGAAAAAGGATGCCAAGCTTTACATAACAAAGGGCAACCTGAATGTTGATAATACCAATAGCAGCAATCAAGACTGTCTACTCCAGGATACCTTCTTGTGTTTGCTTCCATTCACAAGGTGACGAGGGAAAATCCCAGAAGCTGGCTCCTTTTTTTCCCCATCAATTAACCACTTCTCATTCACACACAAGGCAATTGTTATTGCCTCTTTTTTTTTTGACAAGTGTGAATGGTAGTTATAATTTTCCTGCACTCTTCCTCACATGGAGGGCTCCCATAAGTAGAGCAGACTTCTTCACTGAACAAAGCAATGTCAGAGCAGGTGGGGACAGTTTGCTGATTTACCCACGCTACATGATTAAATAACATAGTGTTCTAACAAGTCAACAATGCTTTTGCAGAGGCACTCTGAGGTCCAAACACAGGAACTGTCTGGTGGAGCTTGGCGGAAACACGCCTGATGAAATATGCCTGCCCAGTGAGAATAGCCCCTTTCTGAAAAACCAGGCAAAGCAGACCTTGAGAGGCAATGTTTTTTTCTTTCTTCCACTAACATTTTAAAAACCAAGCCACTCAAGCAATGGCAGTTAAAACAAAGAAGAAACTGGGAACGATGCTATGTCATTACATAGCACTTTGGGTGTGCTCCTATGGGAGCAATTATGTCATTCATCTCTAGTTCTTACTTTCTCTCCCAGCTTGATCAATCAGCCTGGCTTTTAAAATGTCGAAGCAAAATAAAGGGGGAGAGGGAAAACCCTACCGAAAAAACATATCCACACTCCATAAACAAATACAGTCGTGGCCTGCTTTACGATTACCCCATTTAATGACAAATCCGCTTGACAACGATGTTTTTGCGATCGCAAAACGATGGTTTGAATGGGGTTTTTCCGCTTTGCGATGATTGGTTCCCTGCTTCGGGAACCGATTTTTGCTTTACGACAATCAAAAACAGCTGATCGTCGGGTTTCAAAATGGCCACCGGGTGTACAAAATGGCTCCCCACTATGTTTAGGAGCCATTTTTCGCTTTACAGGCACCCGAAAATGGCCACTCCTATGGAGGGTCTTTGCTGGAAAGTGAGTTTTCAGCTCATTGGAACGCACGGAACGATTTTCAATGCATTTCAATGGGCTTTTTTATTTTGCTTTATGACGTTTTCGCTCTACAGCAATTTCGCTGGAACGAATTAATGTCGTTAAGCGAGGCACCACTGTATCTGATCCAATCTTTAAGATTCTCCCAACCCCCATCTCTAAAACCCCGAAAATTCAGTTTGGCTAAACTTCTGCTCCACCCCTAATTAATTTATATGTTTTGACTGGCAGAATGAAAAACACCTTCTGAGTTCTGGAAATGCTGTCACAGGAAGAATGCATTTTATTGTTGTCCATTAGATGGCAGTGGAAAACCATTAAGAGATTCAGAGCTCTTAAAACAAAGCTACAAAGCTACAAATGAAAAGAAAAAGAAGATGCTTGAAATGGAAAGAACATATCACCATCACTGCTATTTTTTTCTTTGAACAGCATGCTAAATTGAAATTTATTTGAAAGGACTATGTCCTATTTTGAAAATCAGAGATAGCCCTGCTAACACAGAGATCTTGTATAAATCATAGCAGTGGAAACAATATTCCTTTCATACTTGGATTAAGCAGAGCTAAGCTTTTGGGAAAGTCAAATGCAATGCAATGTGTTTTTACCTTCTTTTGCTTTTTTATGTTCAAGTCTTTCTTTCTGTAACGATTTCTCTAATCTTGACCGATGTTCATATACAACTGAAAAATGAATGTGAAAAAAATGGAAAGTATTTTAAAAGTAGACAGCAAATAAGCAACTGAATGCTACAAATATCTGTTGCAAATGAGGGAAAGGAAGAGTCATGTGTGGTATTTTAAGCTTCCAGAAAAAAGGAGCTTTAAAAATTAAACAAAATAACACTATAATGTACGTTTGAGGAATAGGAAGGAAATCTATCAAACATAAAAGCAGGAGGAGAACTTTTTCTGGGATTTTCAAGTTTCAACACATGAGCCATGCAAAATTAAATCTACAAGACTACCAAATCTGTGTATGATGCCCGGTTTTTCTGCCTAATGAGATGATGTAACATAAAAGGGGAAAAAAAGGAAATTTGACAACTTATTCATTTTTAAATGTCATATAATACTCCTTACACACACAACAGAAAGTGGGAGAATAAAAGAACACAGAATTCTGACATTATAAACAAGCATAAATCAGTGAACAGGAGAAGTCAGAGGTGGTCCAAAGGAATAAAGAACAAACACCAAAACATGGTCAATCCATCTTGAGTGGATTAATCAAGAAAAGACAGAGCATTTAATCTAACGAAACATTTTTCCCAATCACATATTAATGAGTGGTGAGAAATGCTGAGGGGGTTAGAATAGAAAATTAAAAAGCTATTTTTTTCTCCTCTTCAATGAAAAATCATGTGCATTTCGGCGCCTTGCTAGGTCATGATGAATGACATGATCTCTCATTTTAACCAAGAGATGTCTCAGAAACAACCAAACGAATGTGTGTGTAATTTGCTCAGTGACATCATGGAACATGCTTTATCACCATTACTGAGGGAAGAGACAACAAAGGGAGCATGCATGGTTTCTTCCATCCCGTTTTTTCCCTCACAACATAACCTATGGTAGGTCAGGCTAAGAGAATTTAACTGGCTTAAAATCAACCAGTGATTTTCATGGCTGAATGGTCGTTTTCTGAATTGTAGCCCAAAACTGAAATCTCCACACCTTAGATTAGATTAGCCATCCTTCAGTCTCGAGAGACTATGATAACGACTATGATAACATGCTCTGTATGGAGGACTTGGAACAGCGTCTAGTGGGGCTGACAAGGACAATTCGAGAGTGACAATCCCTTCCACACTGAAGACAAATCCAATCTGTCCCCTGTCCAGCTCCCTGGTTTTGCTGTTTTTGTGACTTCCTCTTTGCCTCGGCCTGCTGGACAAGGGTCTCTTCAAATTGGGAGAGGCCATGATGCAACACCTGCCTCCAGGCTGCAATATAAGGCTATCTGCAAGTGGGATCTGAATCTCCAGACCAGTCTAGTTCATATAGGGAAGATAAGGCTACTAGTAACAATGGTGATATTCCACTGTGACGATGAGAAGCAACATGAATAACATTGACTGAAGGGGAAAAAAGTAGACAAGGGCCATCACACTCTTGAGGGCTTCCCAGAAGCCTCTAACTAGCCACAGAGGGAACGCTATTCTAGGGTTCTTATGAATGGCTGTCCGAATGAGGGCTGGAACACAGTAGGACCCCCATATCCAGTGGCTCAATATCACCTATCTGCAGTCTGAAAATATTAAAAATACACAATGAAAATACCTACAAGTATGAACTTTCAAGATGAAATTATCAGACTGGCCACTAGAGAGAACCAAACACTACGTTGGGAAAGACCCTGCCATTTTGGTTAGTCCCAGCAGCCTGAGGCAACTTCCCTCCAGAGCAACACTGTTGTTGTAACACTCAGAGCTGGATTGGCTGGTGAGGCAGGAGGAGGGGTTCCCATCTAAACTCAGCCCTTACTGATAGAGGTCCCATCGGTCCAAAAGACCGTTAGCTGTAATCCACGATTTTTATTATCCACAGGGGAACTGATCCCCTGTGGATACAGGAGTCCTATTGTACGGATCCTCATTTACCCTGCTATGCAAAACTAACCTAGAAAGGTAGAGTAATTCTTCCTCAGTTTGTCCCACAACTTTCAGCTGAATGTACACAAGCTGTCAGCAGGGCTTCAGCTGCTATATTAAACTCCATCCTCATAAAAAAAAACCTATTCATTCTGTTTACAAGATAATCAGCTGTTTGAATGAAGATGGAGCGATATAAGTTCTACATAGGGCTATCTTAATTTAGACAAATTAAAATTACCCCCAAATCTACAAAATATTTCCATGGTTAAAGGACAAACTGGTGGAAACAACAAACTGCTACAGCAGAGGTGTCCAATTCAATTTCATCTTGGGCTACATCGGCATTATGGTTGTATATACACTTTATCATATTAAATAGTGAGGACTGTATTTCCCAAGGTGCTGTATGCCAGAGGTCCCCAACCCCCAGTCCGTGGCCTGGTGCCGGTCTGTGGCCTGAGCCAGACCGGGCCGTGGAGACAGACCCCCTGCCCCACTCCCCACACTCACTCACCCGTGCACAGCTGATTTGTGCGCGTGCTCCATGGAAGCACTGCACTGCCATTTGTGCATGCACACAAGGACGTGCATGCCCGCACAAGCACAAGACTGCCATTTGCGCATGTGTGCATGCTCCGCACATGCACACAAGTGCGGGGGTGTCCCGCTTTCCCCAGCCAATCCACGGGGTGAAAAAGATTGGGGACCCCTGCTGTACACCATCCAAGTAGCTACACTTTCTGATTCTTTTGTTGCTTGGAATCTGGGATTAGAAGTCCTGCTGAGGGGATTCCCAGCATCCTTGAGGAGAACTATGGGTGACTGAGCCTGCATACTGCTATACTGCACAGTAGCAGGCAATACTGTGAGGGCCACATGAAATGGCCTGGCATGCCAAATTCGGCCTGCGGGCCTTGAGTTTGACACATCTGTGTTAGAGTGTTTCCAGGACTCTGTATCTGGAACTTACTTCATAAATCATGGTCTGGGCACCAAACAACTCACCTAACTCTCTTTTTTAAAACAACCCTTTAAGTTATCAACCAACATTATCCTCTTACAGCTGATTGATATCTCCGTGCTTAAATAATGAAAAGTTTCCAATCATTTTGCAGACAATGTACAGTGGACCCTCGACTTACAGAATTAATCTGTATTGGAACGGTGGCTGCAAATCGAACAGTCTGTCTCCATTGACCTACAATGCATTGAAAATCGATTAATCCGTAACCGGACGTTTTTGTTCCATTTTGATTTTTCCCCCCCGGTCTGTAGATCGATTCTCCGGCTGCAAGTCGAACCTAAATTTTGTGGCCAGAGAAGTCTGTAACTCTAAAAGTCTGTAAGTGGAGCCGTCTGTAAGTCGAGGGTCCACTGTATTTTTCTCCTTCAGTCTTTAGCTTGCTCATAATGAGCTCATGGCAAATGACACATCTTTCTTGATCGCAGATGCCATGTAAGGCATGTCTTTTACCCGGTAAGCGAGGTCTTCTACTTTAAAACACCAAAAAATAAGATTAACCATAAGAACCAAACAATAAAAACAGCACAGTCCTGTGGCTTCTTAGAGACTAACAAATTCCTTATGGCATGTTCATGCTATAAACAAAATGTTCAAGTCTTTAAGGTGCTACAGAATTCTGTTGTTTGACTGCAGTGAACTACTGTACAATAATATGGCCACTCCTTTGGGAACCAAACAGTAATTATTAATGGTTTATTTAATAAAGTTATTTACTCTGTGCTGTGCACACACTGAAAAATCGGGTTTCAAAGATCAGTTTTCAGACATTTATAGCCCATTACATCACTGTACCTATCGCTTCCAAGTGTTACAGAATGGTGAAAAAGATGAAATTCTCCTTTTGCTGTTTTTCTCTCTAATTATACAAATCGGAGATCGAACCCTGACTAAATATCAATACTATCTCAATGAAGAATAAATTCTCCTAAGTTTAGCAGTAGAAATATGCCTGTTTACACGTACACTTAAAAAACAGCCACAGAAGAACAGTTTTCTGTTTTGGGAGGAAACTCTGTTCTCCCAAAATTTTCCATTTGGCAGAAGAAGCTCTTAAAAACCAAGAGCTTATTCATCTCCTCTACATTCTCCCTCTTTCCTTCAACCATGAGGACAATCGGTGGGGTTGCTTAGCAGAAAGGGCACTATTAGCAACTTTTGTTCTTCAGATTCATATAATTAATGTCATTTGCATACTGGATTCCAAGCTACAGCAGTTGGATGCCCTGAGTTTACTTGTCCACATCTTTACGATAAAATTACAATTAAATCAAATTGATGTCCTTTGTTTTGCTTTGTTTGTACAGAAAAGTGATGGGAAATGTTCAAGGATCAAGTTTATGGAAGACATTCAGGTCCTCATGTTGATATTAACCACCAAGCCTTATTCGAGGGCAAGAGACTATTCATTGGTAAGATTTGGGAATAAACAATATTGTTCCATTCTAATATAAGAAAAACGGTCATTACCCAGTTCCACTAAATTGAACGAGACTTAGCTTAGCTAGGCTCACTCCACTGTAATCAATAATAAGCCAAATTAAACTTTGCTGAGGTGCATCCAAAATGATGGATTATAAGGCACTTTGGTCTGATCTAGCAAGTTCCATTTTAGGACCATCAAGAGTATAGTGTTATTACATATCTACAAAGAAATCAGACTTGCTTATGTTTTGTGCTTTCCTGAAATTTGAAAAACTCAAGTCAGCCCCTGAACGTCTTTACAGATAATAAGCCAAATTAAACTTTGCTGAGGTGCATCCAAAATGATGGATTATAAGGCACTTTGGTCTGATCTAGCAAGTTCCATTTTAGGACCATCAAGAGTATAGTGTTATTACATATCTACAAAGAAATCAGACTTGCTTATGTTTTGTGCTTTCCTGAAATTTGGAAAACTCAAGTCAGCCCCTGAATGTCTTTACAGACTATAATGAGTTGATTTAGTAGCAACAATTGTCTTCTACACAGATTAGAATGTTCTATCAACAACTTGTTTCCCATAAAGCATAACACAGCAATTTAGTAGACATCTACAGCAACTAAGGAAAACGATATCGGCTTCC